AGATGTTTCCTTTCGTGGCCTAGTGCGGCAATGTGCACTGAGGAAAGAATTGACCGGAGCTCAACTGGAAGTTGCAAAGGAAGGCAACCTCACAGAACAAAGAAACACCGAAGCAAACTCACACATCTCACATCCACATACGTGTATCTAGATTCGAAAATTAATTATGTCACTATGTCAATTCCATAAGCAAGTAGCGTAGAGAATCACGCACAGGCATCAATATCTATGACTATGTCATCTATAATCTATAATAATCTATAAACGTAAGAATGTATCTATTGGAATGTATTGGAAAATGTTCTTTAATTTGATATCATCAATCTTCTCAAATCTATTTTATGTCAAGATGAGTCTTGCAGAACAGCTGTCCTTTGGTGATTTTGGTGCAGGCCTTCTCCACCAGCTCTCGGATCAGATCAGTGTAGCCCTGCACGAGCATGCAGCAAAGCTGCATGAACAACTGAAATCGTTGTTGCCCGGCCGCACTTTTGATGCGAAGACTTTAGGTTTTTAAGGTTTAGATAGCTTTCGAAGATAGATTATGATAGATTTACGATGATTTACGATGCATTTGATTTGACATGATCTGATGTTACATTTCGGTGGGGTTGGGTGTACTTCCAGCTGTAGTTCATTCACAGCAACCGAAGCCTCCTACAGTGGCGACTTTCAAGGCTGGCAGTTCAGGAGCAGCGTGCTAGACATGCAGAGACAGCCATTGCCTCTTGGCTGAGAGCATGACTTCAAAGTCAGATAAAGGGATATAAAATATTTATAAAATGATATAAAGGGAGACACTTCATGAATCTTCATGAAGTTGGCCGGGGTTGTTGGGCAAGGAAGGGTGAGGTGGTTTGCAACAGGCAGCTTTTGGAGAGCACTTGCGAATAGCTTGCGCATGGCTTGCGCATGGCTTGCGCATGGCTTGCGCATGGCTTGCGCATTTGACCTAAGTCTGTTGGTTTTCCTTTGCCATCTCACCTCGGGATGCGGGTTGTCCCATTGCGCTATGAGGAGTCAATCTTCAGGGATGCCGTGGCGTGTCCTTTCAGCCGCTTGGAATGATGACGAAATCGTGCCAGCATGTAGCGTGCTGCGATGACATAGGTTAAATGATGTTAAATGCACGTAAATGCACATTCAAAATCATTCAAAATCATTCAAGCTGGTTAAAGAGACATCCAAAACCTGCATTGCTTCTGACATCTTCTGACTTGCACCTAAGCCTTGGTTCCACCATGTTCCACCATGTTCCACCATGTTCCACCCCCTCCTGACATCAACAATTCAGCTGACACGTGCAGTTTTGACCGAGCCATTTCTGACGTTGCACCGTTCTTCCCGCGGTTGCGGTTTCTGGCAGTTTCACTTATAACTTGCAAGGTGCGCTGGAGTTTGGACTTCCAGGTGAGGTGGAGGAGACTTGGGCAGAGCACACCAAGCTGGGACCTTGGAATCATTATGTCATATCTACTTGTATATATTTGTATAATATATATATGATTATATGTATATATACATTATAACATATAATCATATAATATATAATATATAATATAGAATATAGAATATATATTTATTTATTTTAGTTTTTTATTTATTCTATTTATTTTACTTATCTTATATATTTTATTTATTTATTTTATTTCTTTATTTATCTATTTTATTTATTTTGTTTATTTATTTATTTATTTTATTTTATTTATCTATTTTATTTATTTTGTTTATTTATTTACTTATTTTATTTATTTATTTATTTATATCTAATTAATTCTATTTATTCTAGTTATTTCTTTATATACATGTGTGTATACATTGGTTTACATGTGCACACACACACACATATATATATATTATCATACATATTGAGGTACACATCATCAAGGACCTGCGTTTCATCATGCTAAACCATGCAAATTATCACAGTTCGCTATATTCCATGCAGCAGCGCGGTCACCAGTTGTCATTCCCAAAGGCCAGAAGCAAAAGTTGCAGAGCCACCTTTGGCCCTTGAGCCGCCTCCTCCGTGTGAGGAGTTCAGGGTTTCTTGGCATTGAATGGCATTGGATCATTGTGTGATATTTGAACACATTTGAACATATTTGAAACGCATGTTTGTTATATTTGCAATAACGCAAACATATATATATATATACATACATGTATGTATATATATATACATACATGTATGTATATATATACATACATGTATGTATATATATATATACATACATACATATATATATATATGTATACATATATATATATATATGTATACATATATATATATACACATACATGTATATATATAATATGTATACATGTATGTGTATATATATATACATACACACACATATATATACATATGACTATATGTTAATATATAAGTAAACTTACACATGCTGTAATATAGTCAATATTTTGGGGCAATAGCGTTATATTTCAACAAATAAACACATACAATGACCTTGTCAAGAACGGTCAAGACTCAGTGAACCCAGCGGCTCAGGTTTTGCTTCAGGGCGAGGCAACCGTGCGAGCGGAATTTCAAGAGGCCTCAGGGTCAGGAGCTCAGCACAGAATTGGACAGACACGAGAGAACAAAGCTTCGGCGATGGAGAACAGAACGTCATGTACCTCCAAGGTCAGATCCTGTAAACTCAGATGCTAACGCTAACCTCATTGCGATCCTGGGTGCAATACCTGGCCTCATCCAGTCCCTTGGCAGCCTTTGCATTTGGACATTGGATGAGATTGGACGGTCGATGGAGTCGATGGAACCAATTCCACCTTTTTGCTCCATTTCTCTTTGTGGATTTTCTGCTGTTTGCTGTTGGAAAACGCTCCTGTTTCTGGATTGAACATGATTGAACTTTGGTTTTGATTGGTGGATCTTGGATGATCTTGGGCGGAGGTCATCGCTGGCAGTTCAAGAGCAGTGGCACTATGACTGCTTGCGGCTGCTTGGCTTGGATTTTTCTTGGCCTTCTTTGTGCAGAACATTGCATAGCCTGCATAGCTGGAGGGTTTCGAATGGTTTCGAGATGTTTGGAGTTTGAACGGTCTGATTAGTTGCGCCTTCATGGTGCACATGAGGAAATGGACGTCGCGCCAAGAAAGCAAACAACAAGAGGCTGGCAAAACGGGAGATTTTCAAGCACCAAGTATCGCATTGGCTAACCATGGCTAACCTGCGAAAGGCACGCGCACGGCTTGAAGACCTCCTTCGCAAGTACCGGCATGGTGATAGAAAACCAGCTGGAAGGAATGTAAGAGGTCAAGGCGCACAGGGTATGGCAGGGTGTGACAGGTATGGCAGGTATGACAAAGCTTCTAGCTATTCGCAGAACTCAGTTCTCATCAAATTTCCAGCAAAAAGGATGCAACTGTGGCAGAGATTGGCAGACCCTGAGGCATACCTCACTTGAACACGGCCGATACAATATCGACTCCTCCGGAAATGATGAGTGAGGCTCGTGCTGCATGCCGCCTCAATTTCAAGTAGAGCCACCCTGCAGCCTTCGCAGATCTTCGCAGTACATATCATGCTGATATATTAAATATGCATATATAAATATGCTGATATTCCATCTGCTAGGTGGTGCAGTTTACTCCAAACCCAACGCCAAAGGTGGGCTTTGTGATACATTTTTTGATGCCTTTTTGAATGAGTGTATCAAGTGGTAGAGCTCAACGTGTGAAGCCTTGGGGGTGGGGGAAAACTGGTCTCAGAGGCAGCGGAAGCAGCGGTAGAAGACATTGTGACAGCCAAAGAGACGCTGGCCATTTCGCAGGCACCTGCTTCGGCACCTGCTTCAGCACTGCTTCATATCTCTTCACATTGACAGTTTGCAAGAAGGTCAATGAATTGTTGATGGCATTGGTCAAAGTTTTGCTGCACATGAAGTGGAAAGGCTACTACCACTGGCAATGAGGAAGAACGAAGATGGATTTGGTATCCAGCACCTTGGGCTGCAAATTGCATGCTGCAGCCTTGTTTCTCCGTGCAATGTCGCTGCGTGATCACAACTTGTTCGAACATGTTGAAATGCATTTGGCCTCTTCGACAATACAATGAATTGGCGTTGGTTCTTTGGCAGCGAAGTCCAAATTGCCTGTACTCAGGGCATACTTTGTGGAACTTAGGCTTTGAACCCACCGAATTGGCGCCGGAGTGGTTGCTTGAAACCGATCAGTTTAGAATCTAGAACCTTCCTGCAGTGCATCACAGTGCGACATCAGTCCATGAGGCTGAAGCGCTCAAGCATGCTCAAGCCATTGTCGATGTTACCTGTTGTATATAGAACAGCCAGGGCCGGAGAGTTCCCAGCGACCGAGGCTTCCTTCTCCTTGAAGATTCCAATCACTACATTCTCGGAACTGGCCTTAATGCCAGACATGAGATCATCCTAGATTGTCATAGATGATCGTCTCGAAAATAAATGCAGGTAGATGCGGATATAGTATATCAATGTATATCATATATACAATGTTATACAATATCATACAATGTGATCTAGAGGTTCTAGAGTCATACAGTACAGTCACGTCAATGTCATGCAATTGGATGGAGTGTCACACGAGTCTAAAGGCATCCTTTGATGGATGTGCAGAAATGCTTCAGCAGCTGTAGAAGCTGAAAAAAGCACCCACGAAACCTAAGGACGGATAATCTCAGGATTCATGGTTGCTGTCATCATGGTGAGTACTGTTGAGATCTCAGCCGTGCTTTAAGCATCTTTAAGCACTGCCAATTCACATGACATATCACATATTGTACACACGCACACGCATGTGCAAGCATTAAGTATGCATTAATATTCATTAAGTATATTTAAGTATGCATGAATATGCATGCACACACGCACACGTATATAATCATATATATATATAAATATATATATATATATTTATGATACATTTGATATAGATTTACGATGATTTGCGTACTCTAGGGACCTGCGCACAACTGCCTTGTGCTGATGCTGAGAGGTTTGTTTCAAGTCAGCCGCCTGCCGCCTGCCATCCCAAGGTGTCCTTCGTCATAGAGACTTTGCCGTGCCTCGTCTGCAAGTGTACAGAGAGGTACATAGATTGAACCAAGTGCAAGACTCCGAGATGGGTGTGGGGCTGGGGAGTAACGGGCATGAGCTTGCGCGAATCGAATGAATCAGCCTGCCAATATGGGAAATATGTATAAATATGTCACAATATCACAGGCAGTGGGGCATTGAATGGAATTGACAATGTGTGGACAGGGATATCGCATGATATCAGATATCACCATATCTCACCATATCGAGTGGTCTCGAGTGATCTCGAGTGACTCTCAAGGATACTCAAGGAGTGTCTCGAGTTGATGATTTGATTTAGATTTGATTTGAGATATTTTGGTCGGATTGATGTGAGGAACTTCAAGGATCGACCACAGCGTTGTCAAGAGCTGCTGGCAGCTGGTGCGGCGCTCACAGTTAAAGCGTGTGAGCCCGTGGCTTGGCCGCTATCGCTCGAGGAAATCACACCGGATCGGTGATCATCGGTGATCACCGGTGATCACCGGTGATCAAACAATTTCCAGCGATTTCCTGTGAGGTTTCCCACAGGTCTCACATTTTTGAAACAAATCAATTATGTTTTAATCATCTTTATATAATCATCTTTAATCATGTACGTTAAATCAGGTTTTGATACCTGTTTCAATCCTCGCAGTTTGACCCTGGTGATCAATTGATCTCTCTTTGATTCGGTTGCTAAAAACGGCCGGTGGATCCATTCCCAGGTGCCGCGGCCGATTTTCTCTACGCTGGAAGCTATTTGCATCGAAGCTTGGCACCTGAAAAGATCTTCCCAATTCCCTTAATATATCATGATATGAAAATATATGAAATATACTGTGCATATCTATGCTTTATATTATTATTATTATTATTTATTATTATTTATTATTATTATTAATATATATATGTATATATATATATATCTTTATATATACACATATCGCATGATACTCCCTTCCCATCCAGTGACTCAAGGCGATTCTTGCGATGGATCACCCTTAGCTGCAACTATTGAGACTTGACCCGAAATCCAAGGCAATTTTTTCGCTTGAGTATGCTCTGCGATTGGCGCTTTGCCACACTGATGCCCGGTATGGGAGTAGCTACATTTCGCGGACATTCCACTACGCGGTGGCTCGGCAGGAATACATTGCCCAATCAAAGAGATGAAGACACTTCTCAGTCCTTTGCTGGCGCAATTGATAGCTGATAGCGTTTCCATTTACCCTGCAATCTATCAATGGCCATTTCAGGTAATTACCCAAATTGGAGGTACCTACCATATGGCTATGTAAGGGAATATCCCACAAAATATGGCTTTACATGGTACAGTACCTCTAGTTTATGGTACCGTACCTATCCGTACCTCTATTTTGGGGTCCTGAAAGTCCCATTGAATCTACTGCAATGATATTGTGTGAAGCAGCTTCAATCCGCCCATTCTGTCCTTGACTTGAGATACAGCCTCTGAATGTTGTTGACGTGATCGCTGTCCTGCCTTTCTACTTGAAGCTGGCACTTGAATTTAGCGAAATTGGAGTTTTTGGCAGCTTGGTTGCACTAAATTTGCCCGGAGTGAGCTTATTAGATAGAAAATGATAGCAGCCTCATAAGTAGCTTGATGTTTTAAAACATTTTGAGCCATTGTGAGTCTGAGCTAGTCCTGGAATTTGACAGACAAGCCATGACCATGAGTTTGAGTAATCTGAGTTCAGCTTCCGGTGACAGAACTGCTTGTGGAGGAACACTGCTGGCACAGGGCTCCATTTTCACAGGTCAACAAAGTCACCAAGTCACCCAGTGCTGAAAGGGAAGAAAACACCCAGCTTTGCGCGTGCAAGGTATGCTGAGATTAATGCGTGTCTTTCGACTACTGAAGCTGGCGAAACATCACAAAGGCACGGAGGGGACATGGCACAGCCACTTTGCAACTCTTGCCATTCGAGTCGCGGTGTGGCCCTGTTTGATGCAGTCTCCTGTTCCTTTCGGCCAGGTATCATGATTTGTGGCTTGGCATGAAGTTCACAAACTTTTCATGGGTCGCTCCTGGAATCGTCACAGGGAATCGATGTCCCAAACCGAAGGAACTTATGACCAAGGTATGAGGCAACCACACACACACACGATGGCTTGAACACAGTGGCACACAGGGGCACAAGTCATTCCAAGATATCCAAGCAACGCACAATGTATTGAGCGCCAACATGTACATTTTTACGAGTATATTAATGTCCATACATGCATATCGATATACATATACCTATACACACATACATACATACATACATACATACATACATACATACATACATACATACATACATACATACATACATACATACATACATACATACATACATACATACATACATACATACATACATACATACATACTGTGAATGAACAAATGATCCCAGTCATGTTCTTGCTTTCTTGTCACATGTGCACGGCCTTTCATACATGTTCCATGAGGGTCCAACTCCAGACGTGGAAATCCTCAGCCGCTTTGGCTGACTGGCAGCTCGTGGTGGGAGGGCTGAGGAAGCGCTTGAAGCCATAGGATTGAGGCCAATCCTTTCTGGTTTGCTGAGGACAGCATTTATCGGTGGCATCAGTGCCTTTGGTTCTCCTGCTTTGGAAGCCTAGCAACATTTACCATCTTGGCTGCTTGTGAAAAAGATCTCGAGCGTTTTGGAGGTGGTGAAGGGGAATTTCTACCAGTGTGGAGCGATTCACACTGGTAGCGGAGCTACCTAATAAAGCCCCAGGGGACCTTTGATAACATCTGGTGGTTTTTCTGAATGTCTGAGGGGACTGCAACAGCAGCTTCAACCGATGGGAACACTGCTTCATCGAATCACATGGCCACACTGGTGCCAACATTCGATCCGTCAAAGGATGACTTAGAACAGTATACGCAAAAGGTAGAACTGCTTAGTGAGATTTGGCCTGCAACAAAAATCAATGAGTTGATTACTCGCCTCATCTTGAACACAAGTGGAACTGCTTTTCAGAAACTTCAGCTGAACAATCCCCGGTGGATGATGACAAATGACAAGAAAGGAGTGCAACTACTGGTCCAGCTCCTTGGCGGCCAGTGGGGAAAAGTCAATTTGGAGAAAAAGTATGACATCGTGGAGAGAGCACTTTTCCGTTGCCTTCAGAAACAAGATGAATCCAACGATTCTTTCCTAGCCCGTTGTGACGTTGTTTGGTCTGAACTTCTAGCCAAGAAGGTGCAGTTGGAAGAAATCCAATCGTACATACTCAGAGGGTCTCGTTTGAGCACAGAGAATAAGAAACGTGTCATTGTTGAGAGTGAATCATCGTCAAGTGGAGTTTTGAACATGGAGAAGGTCACACAATCTGTTCGCATGCTTGGTACTTCATTTTTCAATGAGATGATTGGTCAAAAGGTCTCCAAGGGCAAGATTTATGAATCCCAAGTGATGCTAACTGAAGATCAAGATGACTTTCAACATGATGAGTCTGCAGACGTAGCTGATGAATATACCGAGGATGAGTTTGTAGGTCAGTTACTGCAAGATGATGAGGAAGATGCAGCCTTGATTGCCGATTATGAATCGAGGGCCGCAGATGTACTGCAAGGAGACAGTGACCTTGCTGCCACATACAACGCATACGCAGATGCCAGGAGAAGACTCTCCGACCGTTTCAAGCATAGAGGATTTTGGCCAGTAGGTCAAGGCAAAGGTTCAGGCAAATCGTCCGCATCAAAGGGCAAAGGGAAGTATTTCAACAAGGTTTCCAAGAAAAGTCTTCAACAGAGGATCCTTGAAAGCCATTGTAGATTGTGTGGTAGGAAGGGTCATTGGCGTGCGGAGTGTCCCGACCAGACACGTTCGAATGCATCAACTGGTTCCACAAATACATCAGCAGCCATGACCGTTTCAGCAGTGTCCCAGTCCATGGAAGAGCCCAACGCGCTTCCAATGGAGTTCATGCAGCTTCCGATGGTGCATGAGGAAACCCTAGATGTTCCTAGTTGGCAAGAAATAGACTCCGTAAGTTGGGTAAACGGGGTAAAGGGGAAGATAATCAAAACCCGAATGAAAGCCTGCCCAGGAATGAACGAATCACAGAGCAACCTGAGAGCCGTTTTGTGGCATCCGTGAGAGAGCAGCCAGCAGTAGCATATTTTTCCACGTATGGCACTTGTGGCATACTTGACACAGGTGCGTCGAAGTCAGTGATGGGTAGCAAATTGCTACCTGCCTTACTTGAGGGCCTTCCAGTTGAGATGAGACAGCAGGTGTTCAGGACATCATGTGACATCACCTTCAGATTCGGAAATCAAGGTACCTTGGATAGCCAACATGCCTTAGTTATCCCCTTAAAATCTGTAGGTCTGGGTCTCAAGATTGCAATCGTGCCTGGCGAAACACCGCTGCTGCTGTCCAACACACTCCTGAGGACTCTCAAAGCCAGTTTGAACAGCGAGCATCACACGTTGTCCAGTCCTTTGTTGAACCAGGTTGTCAAACTTAAGCTGAGTCCCAGAGGACTCTACATGCTTGATCTGATAGATTTGCTTCGTGCCCAGAAGGATTTGCAAGGACCTCGTGATGCAATAATGGCCGAAACTTTCATGAGCAGTGATTTTACCAGCGAAAACCAGCAAGCTGAAACGTGTCAGCCAAGCCTCAGTGAAAGTCAAGGTAACAGTTTGAAGTCACTTTCAACACCAACAGGCCCAGGTACACAGGGACATGTTCACATGACCAGCCGAAGCCAGGGCAGTGAGTGTAGTTTCGAATGTACAGAGATCTCCCGGCCCAAGCCACCATCAACCGAGTTTCTCCACCTTGTTGCAAAGGTAAATAACTGTGATAACCATTAGCCAACATCGTATCACCTTTGGTCGCACTCACGTCGGGAAAACATTTGCAGAGGTGTGGGATCAGGAGAAGTCATGGATGAAATGGTTCGCCAAGACTCACGCCAGCAGCACCAAGCCCGAGCACCTGAAAGTACTGGCTTATCAGGAAAAGGTGTTGGATTAGTACGAGGAGAGCCATGGCATGGTGCCTCTGAAGAACCCCGAAGATCTGCAAGGGGTGATGTTGCCTCGATCCAAATGCATGCCCAAGAGCAAGGCCATGCCGGCACATCAAGTGCCTGTGGAGGTGATCCAGGAGATTGTGGATCCCAGCGACCCGTGGGATGTCATGGACTACACAGCACTGCAACAGGACCAGACCAACGAGATGATCGAGGCACTCCAAGCTCGAGTACTGAACATGGAAGGTGCCATCAGCGAGATCTTAGGACATCTCCGTCAGGGGAAGTGAATCATGCTCTTTGGATGTTGTGCCAGGCTGGTGACATTGATGCCGAGTTTGAAAATCACCCAACTGCAGAAGCCCATTTCAGTACAAACACGCCAAATCACTTACACTACAAATTCCATAAACTGGTTCAACAGTTTACCAGCGAATTGAAGTCAATTTCACAATCATGTTCACAGAAAGGCACACCAATTCAAGTCTTGGAAGTCTTTTGTGGACCTCAGAGTGAGCTCACCAAGCAAGTCAATAACTTGGGGTATAAAGGGGTTAGGCATGGTTTTCAAGAGGGTGACCTTGCAACTGAATCCGGCCGAGCCGTTCTTTTTACCAAGTTAATTGAGGGGCAACCTCGAAGTCTCTGGTATAGCCCTACATGTAGTCCTTGGTGTGCCTGGAGCGCAATGAATGCCGCGCAGACTGAGGCAGGGTTCAAGACAATCCAAGCTCTCCGAGAGCAACATATGTACCAACTGGCATTGGGCATCGTGCTTTTCCGTTTCCAGAGACAGAATGGCAGACACATGCACTGGGAGCAACCTGCTCGATCACTCATGACCAGGTCTCCGATGTTGCGTGAAGTAATGGAAAACACATACCTTGCCCAATTCGACATGTGCAGAGTAGGAGGCATGCGTGACCCTGTCAACCAACTTTTGTACAAGAAGGGAATGGAAATCCTTACCACGTCCTATCAATTATACAGCCAACTTCACGGTCGTAAGTGTAACCACCTTCATCAACACCAAACACTTGAGGGAGAAACAATGTTCAAAGGTCACCGCATGAGAAGAACTGAATTTTCTGAGAATTACACCCGAAAGTTTGCCCGAACGTTGGCCCAAGTGCTTACCAAAGTCAAGATGATTAAGGAAGCACCACTGCATGTTGCCGAGCATGAACCTTCGTTTGCAAGCTCAGGAGCCAAGAGAAGATCCGTTTCTGCCGGTGTCCAAAGTGCCAAACGAGCAAAACTGAAAGAGGGTAGCATCAAAAGTGTCTTGATCAACCCAGAAATGTTGCCGTCCAAACGTAGGAGACTTTCTGGAAAGACCCAAAGTGATGATACCCCAACAGTGTTGTGTGAACAAGTTTGCAACAGGGTACTTGAGATCATGCCAAAGGTTGGACGCAAAGAGATCAATGACCCTCAAGTAAAATCCATGTTGCAAGAAATGTTTGGGGATAAACAAGTACAAAGAATAATTGCATGTAAGGGGACTGAAAGAACGTTAGTACCACCAAAAGATCTCATGCGAGGAGAAGCCCCGTACCGCCGTGCGGTAATCATGCAGAGAAACACCCGAAATGTACTGGTTGAAGATCAATGGGAGGAATGGGAAGACTTGTCATTTAGGCAGCAGTGGAGGAGATCGCATCCAAGCTACCTAAATATAACAGTTTTTGCCTGCAATCCCAATGCTGAAGTAGCAAGCTCTGCCAAGCCAGCAATTCAGGAAATGGAACCAGCTGGACCGAGCCAATCTGCGACCTTGGATGGGTCATCCGTAGATGCTGCAATGCCTGAACCAATGCATCCGATGCCAAGTCCAGCCAGATTAGAATCCCAAGAAACAACATCCGAGAGTTGCGAGCCAAGCCAAGTCGATCTGAACAGTTCCAACCATGGTCCCCGGTTCTTAGCCATGTCACCCGAAATAAGAAGATAGCATTAAGGCTACATAAGAACCTAGGCCATCCAGACCCCCAAAAATTAAGCCCAAACTGCAGCGACCGGCAACCCTGAAGGAAGCCTTAGAATTTGGAGACAAGATATCTTTAGATGGAGTGAAGTGGACCAACAAAGATGGTCGAGAATACCATTTTTACCACTTCATAGACCATGGCACCAACTATCATTCTGCTGTTGTCGCTCCGAATCGTGCAGAGATTCAGGACCGCTTCACTCAAGGATGGCTTAGTTGGGCTGGTACTCCAAATGAAGTGATTTTAGACTCAGCGACAGAGTTTGTCTCCAAATCGTTTGAAAGCTTTCTGCAAGGCCTGGGGATCAAAGTCACGGTTGTCCCTCCAAATGCGCACTGGCAGATGGGGCGCATAGAGAGACATGGAGGAGTGCTCCAAAACATGTTGAGTAAGTATGAACTAGAACACGAAATCACCAACTACTCACAGTTGCAGCAAGCATTAGCACAGTGCACTACAGCAAAAAACACATGCGGAATCCGACAGGGGTATTCCCCAGAAATGCTAGTGTTTGGAAAAAGCGCCAGAATTCCAGGCTCACTAACTGGCGATGATGAACTACCCACACATGCCAAAGCATGTGAGGAGACGTCCGAGGGCTTACGTTTCCGGGAGATGTTAGCTCGCCGAGAAACAGCTCGCCGAGCTTTTCACTCAGCTGATAATGACATGTCTCTTCGCAGGGCCGCCTTACGTCGTGAGAGGCCACACAGGGGTTCGTATGAAGCTGGAGAGTGGGTCATGGTGTGGAAAGTGGTTTCCAACCAAGGATCCTGGTATGGCCCCGCAAAAGTCATCCAACAGGATGGTTCCAACGCAGTGTTTTGCAACAATATGGGATCCATCCTCAAAGCAGCACCCGAGCATGTCAGACCTGTCAGCGCCGTAGAAGCTCGCCTGATCCCCCTGGATCAAATTGCCGGTGACAACGAGCCGAGAAGTGAACACCGTGATATCCCAACCATGGACAGAAATGCCACTGAACCAATCATCCCAGAAAGCAGCAACCCCAATAATAATCCCATCACAAACAATAACCCAGTACCCACTAATCCCAGTGGAATAATCCCTAACGATACCAATAGTCCACCTCAAAGAACCCCAAGTCAGAGCTCAGCAGATCAACCTGACCAAGAACCTGAAAATGCCGAAACACCAAGAGAGACTGAAAACGACACCACCATCCCAGAACTAGACCCTTGACAACCTCATGAAATTCCAATCCCTGATGATACTGCCGATGAGCTAGTCTGTGACCTCCTAACGTGCCATGATGTGGAAACAGAAATTGGACCAGATGGACAAGACCTTTTCTGGCGAACAGAGCTGGAAATCAGTCCCGAACAGCTGACAAATGCCATGCAAAGCCAAAATCAAAATCGCGAAGAAGCTTTCCTTTTCCTTGCGACCACTGCAAAAAGACAGAGAACAGAAGTCAAACTTAGCACTCTAGATCCTGCGGAACGACAGGAGTTTGAAAATGCGAAAAATAAGGAAGTGAACAACTGGCTACAGACAGGAACAGTAGCAAAAATTTTTCGTCATCAGATTTCTCCAAAACAGATCCTCAGGTGTCGATGGTTTTATGTTTGGAAACCTCTAGAAGACCCCAAGGAAATCAAAGAAAATAATGGAAAGTCAAGAAAGGCAAAAGCGAGGTTAGTAGTTTTGGGCTACATGGACCCACAACTAGAAACTATCCCCAGAGATAGCCCTACACTAGGACGAACCTCAAAGATGTTGATTGCACAGGTCATTGCATCCATGCGATGGACACTCATGTCATTCGACATTAAGGCAGCGTTTCTACAAGGCAAACCACAGGAAGACAGACTGATAGCTGTTGAACCCGTCCCTGAAATGGTGAAAGCGATGAACCTCAAACCAAGTGAAGTTTGTAGACTAGTGAAATCAGCGTATGGTTTAATTGATGCTCCTTTCTTATGGTATACAGAACTGGACCAGCAATTGAGATCCCTGAATTTCATACCATCTCCATTTGATCCTTGCTTATACCTACTATATGAAGAAGGAAAAGATGAGCCAGCGGGTATCTTGGGGGTACACGTGGATGACGGACGGCCTTTGCGGAGGAAACCAATACTTTCACGAAATGATCAAAAGGCATGAGGCCAAATTCCCATTTGGGTCGCGTAAAACGCAGTCATTTGTCTTTACGGGAATAGAAAAAAAAAAAAAAAGAAAAAAAAAAAATAAACAAAAAAAAAAAAAAAACAAAGAAAAATAAAAAATAAAAGAAAAAAAAAAAAAAAAAACAAAGATAAAAAAGAAAAAAAAAAAAAAAAAAAAAAAAAAAAAAAGAAAAAAAAAGAAATAAAAGAAGAAAAGAAAAGAAAAAAAAAAAAAATATAAAGAAAAAAAAAAAAAAAATAAAAAATAAAAGAAAAAAAAGAAATAAGAAAAAATACAGAAAAAAAAAACAAACAAAAAAAAAAGAAAAAAAAAAAAGAGAAAAAAAAAAAAGAAAAAAAAGAATGCACCAACAAAACGACTACTCAATTGTCATGTCACAAGAAAAGTACGTTTCCAAAATCAATCCAATTCACATCCAACCACAACGAAAAATACAAGAAAACCTTCCAGTCACAGAGAGAGAGAGACAGGACTTAAGAGCACTGATAGGATCACTCCAGTATGCATCCGTGAGCACGAGGCCAGACCTGTCAAGCCGCTTAAGTTTTCTGCAGAGCGAAGTGAACAAAGCGACCGTGGAGACTCTCATCCAGGGAAACAGAATTCTTCATGAAGCCAAGAAATACAAGGATACGCATGTCAGAATTCAACCGATTCCCATGGACCAGATACGGTTCCTTGCTTTCTCTGACGCATCATTCGCTTCCAAGAAACAACCAGAGTCACACACAGGAACAATCATCATGACCACTCATGCGGACATAGAAAAGAACCATGTATGTCCAGTAAATCCAATCAGTTGGGGCTGTAAGAAAATTCAAAGAGTTGTCACCAGCACGCTGTCAGCAGAGACCACGTCCTTGAGCACAACTTTGGACCAGCTGTCATGGTTGAGACTTTTTTGGAGCTGGATACGGAACCCCAAGACAGATTGGAAGAATACAACCACCACACTCAATAAACTTCCAGAAACTTTTGCGACAGCCACGTTCAAAGAAGACCCCTCAATAGCAGTCACCGATTGTAAATCATTGTTTGATTTGGTCACTCGGACTGCTCCACCCAGTTGCCAGGAATTTCGTACACAACTACAGGCAAGAGCCATTAAAGACTTGCTGGCTGAAGGGGTAAGGCTTAGATGGGTTCACACGGGAGCACAGCTGGCAGATGCATTAACCAAAATTATGCAATGTCATTTTCTCCGTCAGACCCTCCAATGTGGCAAATACTCCTTACATGACGAGACTGAGATCCTCAAAGAAAGGGCATGTAACAGAACCAGGGTGAAGTGGCTCCAAGCTACCACAAGTGGAGAAAGCAAAGATCAACAAGAAGAGTAGAAAATTCTTGTTTTTACGAGTGTGAATGAACAAATGATCCCAGTCATGTTCTTGCTTTCTTGTCACATGTGCACAGCCTTTCATACATGTTCCATGAGGGTCCAACTCCAGACGTGGAAATCCTCAGCCGCTTTGGCTGACTGGCAGCTCGTGGTGGGAGGGCTGAGGAAGCGCTTGAAGCCATAGGATTGAGGTCAATCCATCCAGGTTTTGCTGAGGACAGCATTCGTCGTGGCATCAGTGCCTTTGGTCTTTCTGCTTGGAAGCCTGACAACATTTACCATCTTGGCTGCTTGTGAAAACGTTTGCGAGTGCGCTGGAGCTGGTGAAGGGGATTTTCTACCAGTGTGGAGCGATTCACAATATATATATATATATACATACTGTGGATGGAAGAAATCCTACACCAGTTCGTAGGTGGTTAATCCCATTATTTCTAGGTTTCAACCATCCAAGGTGGTGCAGGATTTCTTCCGTCCACCGTATGTTTGCATATATATATATATACATATATATACATATATATATATACATATATATATATACACATTCAATATATATATATATATTTTATGTATACCTATATATGTAAATATGTATTTGTATATGTAAATGTATATGTATATGTATATGTATATGTATATCTATTTGTATTTGTATATATATACGTATATTTGTATATATACATACATGTATGTATGTAATGTAATGTAATGTATTGTGATGTAATGTAATGTAATGCAATGTAATGTAATGTTATGTTGTCTTATGTTATGTTATGTATGTATGTATATTATCAAAACATATGCCTAATTTCACATGCAATGACCAAATAATCTGGCATACAACTTTAGTTGCATCAACTGGTGGATTCTTTGGGTCCCCAAGGACTGTAAAAGTTGCGACATAGTTCTATCGATTGATATTATATTGGCTCATGTCCCCTCAAATGTGGCGGTAGTTTCATTTTCTGTTGCTTTCTACCCCCCAAAGAATGATGAACTCCATCAATCAATCAGCATGTAGTCTTTCATTCCTTTTGGGAACAAGGAAGATATACAGACTGGGAAAACCCAACCAATCCAGTTGGAGAATGGATTGCCAGGCGGGCGCAGTAGAGAGCCTGGCGCCGAGTTTTGGTGGAGCCACAGGAGAAAAAATACCCTCCGAATTTCAGGCTTTATCGGTTTATTGTCCTTTTCCCGTCCGAAAAATGGCCATTTTCTGGCGAACAACAAAAATCGCAGTCCTTGATTGTTCAACTACCATAATTACAGTAGTTTCCATGCTGAAACAGGAATCCGATTCCCTTTGAGTCTCGGTTGGCGCCATGAGGCCGAACATCGGTTCCGGTTGTCAAGGTGTTGAGCAGAGAGGCTTCCGACAATTGGCTCCTGGGGATGGTCTTAAGGGTTATGGTGGTTATATACCATCATTGTAGTGGTTATAAGCCATAATCAACCGTTGGGTTATACTACATACCACTATAAACCATAATCAACTGGAAATCGGGGATTCATTGTTACAGTTGCCACATTCATCACATTCCATGTTATGAAAACCTGCAACACTACCTACAGAAAACAAATCTCCATGAAAAAGGGCAGAGTGTTTACCATTGCAAAGTACAGCATGCGAGAAAGAGAACTCGAACACTTATATATATATATATAGATACACTATGATACACTGAGTGCTCATTTTTTGCTGATTCTACGGTCATCCTGAAACTCATCCTTGAAGATTGAATCTTTGAATCTTTGTGATCTACAGGGAGTGCAGATAGTCAAGTCCCGTCTTCATGCTCTATTTGGGGACTGCCACAGGTTCTACTCGGTAACTTTACTACTTTAGCTGCCATGAGAGTGGTGGTAACGGCCGAAAACCTGCAGCTTTGTCAAAGATCACCCCAGGTAGCCTCCAGTCGATCCCTTTTGAGTCGAGCTTCTCTTCGTGGGCGAGCCAGCCGAGGCCCAAAAGAGCGAAACTCCGCCAATGGCGGATGGGCAGAGGTAAAACCTTATCCACCTGTAGAGAATCCCGCAGTGCGCTACGCCCCATATGTATTCCACTCGATATATTTTCACAGGGTTTTTTTTCAGGCTTCATTTAGGGTTTCTTGGGGGTTCATTGTTTCTTTAGGGTTAATATGGTTATTTTCTAGGTTTTTTTAATGGTTTATGTAAAAAGGGACCAAACACAGTTTTGGGTACAGCAGATTCACCGCAGAGGGTCATCAACAACGTCTCTGGGGGGTCGCAAAACCAGAGCCATTTAGTTATATATTAGATCGCCAAATACTAGAAAGCCACAAAGTACTGTCAGTGTCACCAAAAATGATGGTTTCGACAATCATCCCAAAAGACTTCGGGGCATAGCACAAGTGTCGTAGATGATACCCACCATAAATATCCATAAATTCAATCGTTGGTCTTGTTATAAACCAACTCACTTATCTCCTTCTTGTAATATGTCCTCATATCAGACATCCCGTTGGGCTCGAAACCGAACTGAGGTTTGACGGTATCACCGGCTTGTTGACCCCGGGTTGGGGTGTCGATGCTGCGACGCTTCGGAAAATTGATCTGGAGTGATTAGCACACCATGCAGGGCAAGATGTTGCAGATAAACTTTGCCTCCAACGGTTTCAAGTTTTTTTTCACGCATCCTTACTATGTGTGCCATGGCGAAAACTTGGGTAAACTGCCCATATTGGGTAGATGGAAATCAATCCATTAGTAGGGATGTTGATAGTGACCGATATCCGAGATATCAATATATATATATAAAATTATATATATATATGTATATACACATACGTATATCAATCAATCAACAAGCATTCTCAATTTCATGCTGGGATGACCAAGAGGCCCAAAGTAAGCCATGTAACTTGGCATCGCCAGGACGATGGTCTGCGAACCAAGCTGGCCGTTGCGCTGATGAGGGCGCTGCAGGATGGTTCCTTACAACAGCACTTGGACAAGGCCCCAAGATGGGCTGCCCTTCGTGGTGATGGATCAGAAACTATGATACCATTGGTAAGCCTAAAAACGAGATGGTTTAACAGTCCCAACCAAACGGGTTTAACATGGTTTAACGCTTCAACGATCCAAAATTTGGGTTTAGTTTGCACGCTATTTTTGTGCTCACCAGGGTACAGGTTTTTGACCCGTACCCGGGGCCATACCCTTTTTGTTTCTCCCGTATTTTCCGCCAAGACGTGGGGGATTCGGGGATTCCCTTTCACCGACTTGGGAGATCCTGTTGCCTCCCAACCTGCAGCTGGCTGTTTCCAACGGTTTCTTTAAGGGGACACTTAGAGCGCCACTTACAAGTGAGTTTCTGAATTTGGAAAATCGAAAGGAGCACCTGTTGATATTCAGCCTCAAATATGTTTTCTGAACGCTGTAACGCTGGCCCCCTTTGAGGTTGACAATCATTTTGCCACCATTTCAAATGCTGCTTCACCGCAAAAGATGGGAAATCAAAGAAAATGGACCGCTGCCTTCCAAATCCCGAGGAGTTGGGTTGAACCCAATGCCCTTTTCTGGTTATTTTTCATATATTCCCCTTTTAAGTGCCTCCACTTGTGGGGTGGGTATGACTACTCCCATTCTTGTTCTTGATCTAGGTTTGACCTTCATATCATCCCCCCAAAAGGATAGACTGTAGATTATATCATGATACATATATATATATATATTCATATATATATATGTATATGTTTGATATTATGTTATAGGTATACAGATGATATTTTATGTGTATATATATATATAATGCATATGTCCCCATGTTGTCTTTGATTTCACCGCGAGGCCAAGACGGTTCCCCGAAGTCAAGTGCAGGCGCTTCGCCAGGCCGGACGGAAGATGATGGACACATGAAGGTTGTTGGAGCAATTCGTCATTGGACCTTGAGGATAGGGTGAATTCAACAGGGATGCCGATCTTGGCTTGACATAGCGCAAAAGTCGCAAATAATCTGAGACAGTCTAGAAAAGTCTAAAACATTTCAGACCATTTGAAGCAATAAAGACAAGCACTACGTAACTAGATTGAGTTGAGCCAAAGAGTACCAACTCCCCCGGCTCATTTGGGCCCCTTTCCCCTCAGGAGGTTGTCCAGCTCAGACGACAACTGAGGACGGCAGAGGCGGGTATGTGTCGCCATCCACGGGATCCACCATGATTTGCCAACGTGTCAGCGGAATTTTCTGGGGCTGGATCACTCGGGCAGGGCATCCAGGTACAACTTTGATTGGCAGGGCATCCATCAGAAAATGGTTATATGAGTTATATGATGTTATATGCAAAGTTTTTTCCATGCCGAAGTTTCCATGATTTAGAAGTTTTTCTGTGAATGATGGATACTAATTATATAGTTTGATTCTGGGTAATACATATATTGATGCTAATGTTTTGTGTTTTT